ACTCCTGTGTTGACAAAGGCAAATTAGTGAGAATGTCAAAGTTTTGGTGTCTGGGATAAGTGTCAGAAAAAGAGTTGGGTTTCTTTTCATGCCTTCTCACCTACCCCCAATTTAATCATTTTAATCCTGCTGATGTTTTATCTTTGAGTTGCTGCCTCAGGTTTTTGGGGTTTTTTTCCTCCTATTTTAGAACAAATGGGGGAAAGAGTGGAATGGACAAAGAAACAACGTCTGAGGGAAAGCTGCTTCTTAAACCTTGTCTTTGCTTGCTTCCAGTTCTCATTCTGCTCTGCACTGGGAAAGTATTTTCACTTCCCACCTCACTTCCCTCCCAACCCCTTATGTTTCCTCTGAGAGAGACGTTGCCAACGTGGGAAAGTTTAAACATGAAAGCCCAGGGATGAATTTATACCAGGGTTAAATTTGGGTTTAACTACCCATGTGAACACTCTTGTTTTGCTACAAGCTTTTTTATTTATTTTTTTTCCAAATTATGGTTTTCCTCTTTAAAGCTTAGCTGAGGACATTGCAGACTGATTAAACTGAGCTGGAAGAGGTTGGAGTGAAAGGACTCAGGCACTTACAGAGTTACAGCTCCATATCTAGCAGATAAAACTTTCCTGCTCAGACAAGCCCTCACTATTTCATCTTAGTTGTTGGTTGGGTTTTGTTTTGTTTTGTTTTGTTTTTCTCCTGGGAAGAGTTAAAACCTGAGAAGAAAGAATTCACTTCCATGATTTCATTTTCTCAGGTGCCATATTTTTTTGTTTTTCCATTTCAACTTCTTTGAAAATGAGGAAAAGGGATTAAATTCGCTGTCCTTTTTCTTTTAAATGCAAGATCATCTTTTGGTAAAATTTAAAACAGTATTAAATGTTGGGCTTTTCAAAGTTGGGGGGTGGGTTATGTAGGAAACAAGGAGCACAAGGTTTTTATGGCCACACTGACAGAACCTTTCTTTGTGGTGCCTCCCCCAGGCCCAGCTTCTGCATTCAGCTGCTGTTGCTGGCTCCCCACAGCAGGTTTTCAAACCAGTTCGCTGGAATAACCTCCAAATGGCTTTTGTTTCACTCAATGGACTCTGTTTAGCCTTGCTCTGAGCTGATGTGACACTTTGGGACAGTTGCCTTCCCCTGGCACCAGCCTCGAATTTGGCTCAAAGCTCTCTGCTCAGTCCTCCACGTGCACAGATGCTGGTGCTGATGCTCTGTCCTTTCATTAGGTGGTTCCTGTCTGCTTTGCTGGAAAGAAGGAAAAAAAATCCCATTTCCCCATGACCAGAAGTGGATCCTTCTCCTAAGGAGAGTTAATTCAGCCCCGTTAATTCAGCCCCTCCTGCCTGGAGGTGATGAGGGAGGCACAGAGGAGGTGCCCGGAGGCTGGATGGGGTCAGGGTGTGCAGAGCAACTCCTTCACCCTGGGGCAGTTTCCGAGGTGCTAAAAACAGTTTGTTCACCCCTGTTTGTTGTTCAAAGCCAGGCCTGAAGCTCTCTTCAGAAAGCAAGGAACAGCTGAACCCCTGTGCCTTTCTTGTATGGCAGGAGCCTGTTGACTGATGGGGATAGGAAGCAAATTTCCAGCCAGATCCCTCTTACCAATTCCCACTCACACCCCCCCCCCGATGTTTTTCTTTCAGTGTTTGTTTTACTTTGGCAATTAGCTAAACAAATTGCTGTCTGAGCAGCGGAGCTGATGGAGTCTGGTTTCCTTCACGTTTTTCTGCAGCTCCCTTAATGATCTCAGCTTTGTCCTCTGCCATATTTTCCATGGGTAAGGACAGCCAGGAGCCAAGCAGGGCTGGTTTTGGCTTTTCCCTGCCTCAGTGGGGACATGGGTTGGAATTTCTGCCCTTTGCCCGACTTACAGTTTTCAAAAGAACCCCCCTTGAAACAGCATCATTTTCAAGGCATCCATGAGATCCCTCCCCTTCCAAATGCTCCATACTGGCTAACAACGGGATCAGGCATTTCTGGCTGGGGAGAGGATCGGGTTCTCAGAGGGGACATTGCACAAGTTCCATTTCCTCACCACGCCGAGGTGGAAGTGAGTTCCTGGAAGCCTGTTTTGTAAAAAAAGCCCACTTGTTTAGTGAGTCCCTCAGGGCCCTCTGGGCGAGCTGCTCCTGCTGTTGCTCAGAGCTCTCGAGCAGAATGAAAATCCTTCTCCTCAGCTAAACCCTCGAGGCTGCCTCTGCTGCGAAGAGGCAACAAAAGGAGGGGGAGAAAGTGTGACATCACTTAAAAAGTCCTTTTCTCTTTAAAAGAAAGGTGATTCTCTGATAGTTACAGTAAAAGCAGCATTTCTGCTCATTCTTGACTTGATGACAACGTTAAAGCTTCCTTTCAAACGGGTTGCCCGGAGTTACCTGTGGGATTCACTTTCTGCCTCGATATTTTTTTTTTTTATTCAATTTATGCCAGTTGTCCTTTTGTAGGTGAAATCAAGTGTTGCCCAGAAAAGCAGAGCTGAGGACAAGCGTTGTGTGTGTGTGACTGTGGAGCTGTCTGAGGGAGCTACTCAGACAGGAATCTGCCTTCGTGCCTTTGAGGAATTACATGACTTAGCATCGCATCTTTGGTAGGGGATTGAATGTAACCCCTGAGTATTTACCGTGCCAGAAATGAAAGAAAAACAATTTGTCGGATTTTAGAGTGGGTCGAGACTTGCTCCGAGGGCCCGGTGAGTGTGTGCATGACTCACATTGAGGTGTTCAAGGGCTTTTACTGAGGCTTGTCAGTATAATAAGGAGGGGGGGAAAAAAGGGGTGGAAAGGCAGTTCTTGAGGGTTTGAGTGAATTTAACAGCAGGGAAAGTGTCAAACACACCGGGGGAAAGGGCTGGGCATGTGCATTCCTTACAGATCTGTCACAAATTTGTGCCCAGTAGTTGGAGGAGGGTTTTTTTTAATGTTTATTGAATGTAAGTTGAGGCCAAGAAGCACATTGTGGGCTCTTGTGCAAAGGAATGCATGATAAGGTTGAATTTAGGGGATGGGGGTTAAAAAAAAACCCAAACCAGTGTGATTTGTGTAAAGACCTCTGGTTTGAAAGGAAATTATGCATGAAATAATGCAAGAAGCTTTTAGCTGAGCTTAGTAGCTGCTCTTATAAACAGGCAGCAGTGTCTTTGTGGGGCTGCATTTTCCAAGCCACATCTCAAAGGCGAGCTTTGCTGCTTTGGTGAGACACTGGCTAAACTGGCTAAGTTTTTAGGAAAACTTCGAGTTCTTTTCTTGCAGTCCTCCAGAGCTTCTGGGGGAAAAAAAAAAGTTATTTATTTATAGAGCTGGATCTAGGAGCCTTACTTCAGGCTCTTATTTCTGCAAATATCAGTCTGGCTATTTCCTTTTTTTTTTATTTTTTCTTTCCAGGCTGTTGTGCCTGGGTGCTTTTATCCTCACACATAATGTTTGTTCTCGCAGCAGTCCCTGCTCCCAAAGTTGCCAGGGTAACAGATTTCCCCGTTGTTTCCTTCTGAAAGCAGGGGGAGAGTTACCACCAGGACCTCCTGGCTGGGGGCCTGACCAGGAGCCAGGAGAGCAGGATTTCATCCTGCCTTGGCCCCCTGGCATTTGCCTTTGCCCGAGGTGCCCCTGGCAGGGACCAGCAAAGCATTTCAGTCTTTTTTTGTTTTTTGTTATTATTTACTTGTGTGCCTGTTGTTGGGCAGCCACCCCATCCCTGCCTAACAACCTCCAGCATCCAAAACATTTGCCTCAAGGACTCTTTGCCCATCCAAGGGCTTTTCCTCCCACCTTGCTGTCCCCAGCTCCCCTTGCCCACACGCCGGCTGGACTCCAGACCTTCCTGCTTCCCCAGATCCCTTTGTAGCTCCTGCCATTTGCCTCTTGGTGTCTCCACTTCCCTTCTGACCCCTGTGGACTTCGGGACTGGTTGGCTTTCAGGGCTGTACCTCTGTTTATCTGTCATCTGTAATTGCCACCAGGCTACTGGGCAAATGTGGCCTTTTTTTGGGGGGGGGACACGAACCATATAGAGAAAGGAATCTGGGTATGTCTCACAGATATTTGCTTTGTTTATGTTGCTTCTACCCTACTTTCCTATTTCTGGAATATGCCTGGACACGCCAACCCAGCGATGATCAGCTTGCATTAAATAAATTAACTTCATCCTGCTTGACATCATCACCTCCAGCTCATCCACCGAAAGCACCTAAAGAAAAGGGCACTTTTGGATTTGCCTTTTGGGGATTTTTTGGCTGGGTTTGGTTTGGTTGGGTTTTTTTAAGGAGAAGTTTTTTAAGCTCACCCTGCAGAGCAGAACCAGGGGCAGGGAAGGGAAATTTAGGTTGCACATATGGAAGAAAATAGTGTGAGGGTGGGCAGGCCCTGGCACAGGTTGCCCAGAGAAGCTGTGGCTGCCCCATCCCTGGAAGTGTCCAAGGCCAGGTTGGATGGGGCTCTGAGCAACCTGGGCTAGTGGAAGGTGTCCCTGAGTTGGAACTGGATGATCTTTCAGGTCCCTTCCAACCCAAAATGTTCTGTGGTTCCAAGTTGAATTTGTGAGGCCGGGCCACCGAAAAAAAATCCTTTATCTCCCAGCTCTGCCTCTGTGTGTCTGCCAAGTGATAATTGGGGGGAAGAAAAGCCCAACCCTCCTGATACCCATTTGGGCCCTGACTGACAGATTTATGACAGGCTGCAGTTTCCTCCATTTGTGTGGCAGTGGGTGATTGTGTGTCCGCCCTCTCCTTCCAGCTGGATTCGGGGCACAGGAAATGATCCAGCGAAAGGCTTTTGGTGACAATTAACAGAATTCCTGCTGATAACTCCTTTTTTTTTTTTGTCCTATCCCTCAGAATATTTTTACAGCCACCCCTAATTGGTTGCAAGAGTGGCACTGGAGGTGGGTGGTTACGAATATTTGAGCAGTGCGTCATGGATCAGCTTTTATTTCTCTTGAAAGTACAATTTATTTTTTTTTTAATCTCCCTCTTGAGTATTCAGTGACCAGAGCAACATCAACATTTATTTTTCTTACCAGGTGGTGATACCCTAAGAATCATTCCAGTTTGGCCTCAAGCAAGGGTTGTAAACTGCTCATTTTGCCAGGAACAGCAAGGGCTCAAGTCCTGGGATCACAAGGTAGTGTCAGCTTGGGAGCATATATTTAACTCCTCCCCCCAATTTTTGTCATGCACTCCTGTGTGAGGCATCTCTCTTGCAAAGAGACAAAAATGAATATTTATTTGTGGTCACCTGTGTCAAAAGAAGGAAAATGCTGGTGTTGGATGTGCTGTCTCAGTGGGATTTTAAGAGCTGCCTTAAATGCAATGTTGGAAACCAAATATCTTTCCTTAGAGCTTCGTGGTCTTCAGACCTGAGGTTTTGTTTCTCGCAGTGGGTGAAAAAAAAACTAGAGTCTGAAATCTTCAGTATTGGTTGTTCTCTTAGAAAAAGAGGAGGAAAACAAATTTTTTTTTTTTTTTTGCAGAGTTGATACACGTGGGGATTAACCAGCTCTGCTTTCTGTAGGTAAATTACAGCTCAGGAAATTAAATTTAAAGTGAGGTAGATATTTGTCCTTGGGAATTTGACACCTGGAAACAACAACAAAAAAAAACCCACTTTATTTTGAGAGCTTAAGGAGCTGCTCTAGGCTTTTGTGCTGGTTTTATGCTTGAAGGCTTCTTTTCTCCAGTGATGTTTATTGCTTTATGTTTATTATGTTTATTGGATTCTCCAGACTGGGGTTCACTGGAGAAGGGCAAAAGACAGCGAGAGGGATCAGGTTTTTCTTCTGGATTGTTCAGGTTGTCAGTGACTCCTGTGGGAAAACAGCCTCTCCCTGCCTGAGCAGGGAGCAGAGCACAGGCACAGTGCTTTTATCTGCTCTGGAGCTGGTGTGAACACTGACAGCTCGGGCCTTTTGATCTGCTGGAGCCTGGCTGCTGCTTTGGCCTCTGCAGGAGCAAGTCCCAGGGTGGAGAGTGGAGAGGGAAAGTGGTCACAGAGGGTGGAAAACAGTCAGTGGTGAGACCATGGAAACGACAGTAAGAAAGTGTAGGAAAAAGGGACAGAAGCTGGAAGAGTCAAACATTGCAGTGGCACAGGAGAGGCCACGTCCCAGCCTGGGACTTTTATCCAGGGATAACTTGGGCTTCAGCCAGAAAAGAGTGTTTTCTTTCTAAGTGTACCATGATTTCAGTCCTACCAGCTATTGGTACCTGGGGAACAAAAAGCCTTGTAATATTAAGTGAGGTTTTGGACCTCAGAAAATCTCTTGTGAAAATTCCCTTTGTTCTCTTACAGAGGTCCCTGTGCTCCCCTTCCCTTCCCCCACCTGCACAGAGACAGGTGAAGAAGGGCTGGAGCCCTGCTGTTCTGCTGACTGCATTTTGGGGGTTGAATGACAGATTGAAGTCTGTCTGGTACACACCAGTGCCATCACAGGCAGGGTGAGCACAGCAGCTGTGCCTCACCAGCACACAGGGGCCATATGAAGGACCAAGATCTCCACCTTTTGAGTCCAGGTATGGAAGAAATCCTTCCCTGGGAGGGTGGGGAGGCCCTGGCACAGGTTACCCAGAGAAGCTGTGGCTGCCCCATCCCTGAGAGTGTCCAAGGCCAGGTTGGATGGGGCTCTGAGCAACCTGGGATAGTGGAAGGTGTCCCTGCCCGTGGCAGGGGTTGGAACTGGATGGGCTTCAAGGTCCCTTCTGACTTAAATTATTCTATGGTTCTGTGTAAATCCTGAGCAGTTCCACTAGACCAAACTGCTGCTGGGGACTGTAAACCCGTGTTCTGTGGTGGGATAACCACCCTGTGCTTCATTTCATCACCCCTTTTCTAAAGGAGGCTGACAATGTCTTGTCCTCCCCCTTGGCTTGGTGGAAGAAGATGAGCTGGCAAAGCCAGCAGCTGCTTGGAGCGCTCCAGACCTGTCTATGCACATCCTCGCTCCCAGATTCCTAGGGTTTCCAGAGCAGCTAGCCAGAATGCTGAAAAAGCTTTCTCTTTAATCTCTTGATCTCCCCTCTGTGTGTTTTTGCCAGCACAGGTAAAACAGAGGTGCACGCTCCGAGCTCTGCATGTCCCGCTGCTTCCACCAAGGTAAACAGGAGACAGTCACAGTAATTACCAGGAATGAGCTGAGCCAAACATCCCGTCCCTGCAGCTGCTTCCTGGGACACAGGAGCAGGCAGGGCAGGGAAACTTGACCTGCCAGGATATCACCAGTGTCTCTCTCTGTTCAAACAAGAAATGAGGTTCATCAGTCCTTGCTCCGGGTAAATTCCAACTCGAGCGTGAAGGTGAAGTTTTGTGTGGCTGAGGTTTGCTGGGGTTGCTGTGCTCTCCGAGATCCATCTTGTACACACATCCTAAATTCCTGAGGTGGTTCTTCCCAGGCTGCTGGGAGACCACAGCCTTAGGCATCGCTTCATTTCTCACTTGTGGTGCTACAGACACTCCAGTGTTTGCTCAGGTCCAACCCTTGGAATGGGACACCACCTTTAACAAGCCCCAGAGAAATCTCTACCGTGGGATGCAGTTCTTGTGCAGTTGAAAATCCGTGTGTTGGCTTTTATTTTATTTTCTTTAATGTTCTTTTTAAGCAAAGAGACAATCCAGCTGGAAATAGAGAGGATTATGTGGTATCACAGAGAGCAAGAAGGAACCTCCTCTGGTTCATCCCCCCAGGGCAAACACCATTTGTTTCTGGACAATCCAGCCTGTAATTTTGGGCTGCTCAGAGACAGAACAGCTCGTGGGAGCTGGGAAGGAGGAGGGGGCTTCCTTTGGATGCAGTCCCTGGAGCTGTTTTCCGAGAGGTCTCTTATGTATGTCTGTGCATGGAGGGCTCTCATCTGTTGAGCAGGTAGTAAATAGATGTAATCCAGGGTGAGGAGTGCAATTATTTGGCCCTCTCCTGCTGGGAGTCAGAGATTTCCTTCTCTCCCTCTTCTCCCATGTTTAAGGCCAGGTGTTTTTGGGTGGATGAGGCAGCAAACCTGAGGCAGAGGCTGGAAGGTGACTCCTCAGACGCAGTGCTGAAGGTGGCTGGTGGAGCAGGGCAGACTTATTTACCACAGAGCTTATTAACCATCTTAACTTACCACATATGCAGCTGTTGGATTTTTGAGCAATCATCAATAGAAGCTGCAAAATAAGTGCCACAGGCCAAGTTATTTTCCACTCCAAGGCACATTTGCTTCACTTCTTTCCTGTCTCTAATCCAAGCCATGAGTAGCAATGCTTCCCTCTCCCAAACAGCTCTCACACAAATGTAATTTTTAAGCTTGCTGAAGAGCAGACACAGCTCACCTATCCTGCCTGCCATCATCTTTGGCCAGGTTTGGGGTTGTTGTCTTACCCCCAGTGCCCCTGTGAGGAAGCACAGAGGTGAGTCCTTTGTGAATGTGGGATTTGGATTGTTCTGCAGAGTTAAATTTATTCCTGTTTCGGAGATTGGGGACCTTCAGGCATCACAACACCCCCCAGGTGTGTGTGTGTGGGGGTGGGGTGATACTAAAAAATAAATTAGTAACCTCATTTTGAGGCAATTATAGCTCTGTCTTTGGGGAGATTTAGCTGAAGCCCTTTGCAGTGGTGTTACAAAGCTTAATTACATGACTTGAGGTGCTGTTGGATGGATGCAAATCTTCTGGGCATGATATCTCTCCATTTAATCAGCGATTTGTTTGCCATTTGGGTACAGAAAATACTCAGCTTAAAAAACTGGATGAATACACTTGAGGTAAGAGTGGGAAATAATGAAAAGCAGCTGATTTACTCCAGGTGAAGAGCATCCAAGAGCTCCCTGGTGTAGCTCATTTACTCTGTGCATTGCACAGTTCATTCCACACCCCAACTGCACGTGGCTCCTCGTGCTCCCTGTTTCTGGTCTCACCCATTCATCTTTAGCTTTGTTAGAAACACATATGGGCTCCTTTGTTTCCCTTCAATTTGAATCCTACTTTTCATTTTTTTGGGGGGGGATATCTCTTTGCTCTTCGTTAGCATCGTTGTGTGTTACTGATAAAGTGGAACTTCTCTGGGAGGGAGTGTAAGAATCCTGGAGCAAGTGCCTGGATTTTGGTCAGGGAACACAAATCATCCTTTTCACCAGGGTTTGCCACCTTGTAATGTAAACATAAAAATAAAGAAATCTTCCTACATGCCTGCTTCTCAGGCTAAATTTACAAATATCTTCCCAGATATCCTTCCCTTCCTCACCTGTGCTGTGCCCTGTGTGGGTCAGACTTTGCTTTCCCTCATGGAAGCTGTCCAGATGTGTCGTTCATTAATGCAGAGCTTACAGATAAGTGGGGATGGGGGGGTAAAACAGTTTTTCAGATGAGATGGCCAAGAGGAAACTTTTATCCATCAAAACACGCTGAAAGATTCTCTCCACCGCTTCCCAAATCCTCCGGTGCTCCCAGTTCGTGGCTGATGTGGGAGAAACGAGGGACAGGGGGAAGCAGCAGGGAGACATCACCTGCCCCTGCCGTGCAAGGATGGCTGTGGCAGAGATGGAAAACAGGAAGGAGAAGGTAGGAAGAGAAGAGCCAGGATTAGAGCAGAGCTGGGGGTGCAATCCTGCTGCAGCTCGGAGTGGGTTTGGCAGCAGGCGCTGGGAGGAGGAGGAGTGAGCTCATCCCAGCATCCCTGTGCTGCGGGAATGGGGGGCTGCTGCTGCTCCTCCCTGCAGCACAAATGACACCAAGGGTCAGCCACATCATCTGCACCCCCTTCCTAGTCCTGGGGAAGCAGTTCCCTGTTCCCCTTTCGCTTCACCAGCCCAGCTGCCAGGGGTGCGGCTCGGGGGATTTCTGGAGGCTCCGGTTGCCACGGGAAGTTTGTTTTTCTCCAAGACGTCAGGTAACAGATTGTACCACGAGGGGAAAACTGATAGAAATCAGCATTTTTTTATTATTATTTTTCTTTTCCTTTTGGGCCTTCTGTTTTCCACTCGTTTCCTCATTAAAATGTTCTCTCTCCAGTAAACCTGGGGGTGAGTCCCCATGCAGTGTGTGCCCTGAGATGATCCCACTCCATAAATATCCTTGTGAGCACGTTTTTACACTCGCAGCTATGGAATAACAAATGTGCAGCGGGCACCGCTGATGTCCCTGCCACCACAGAGGAGGTGGCAGTTCCCACGGAGGGGGGGTGGGAGAGAGCCAGGGTTGTGAAACAGAGGTGCTAATTGTGCCGATGTCAGATAGCAGGGCTTCACTTTTATGTTTCCCATCTGTTTTCAGCCAGCGATTTCGCAGTTGCTGCGGCTCACCCGGGAGATGACGTCAAGTGCAGCGCTAAAATTTTTCGGTTTATTAGCTAATTCCTGCACTTTCTCTGCCTGTGACGTGGTAACAACGTGCATTTCTTCTGTGCTTCTCAAACAAAATCCTGCTTGGCTGGTAGATTAATTTATCTGCTGCTCTAACTTTGCCTTTTCCAGACTGACCAAATGGAAACGGTGGGTAATGGTTCTGCTTTTTTAATGCCCTGGTTTGTGGCTGCAGATCAGTTAAAATCTAATTTCCTGAACTGCTAAAGTAGCAACTAAAGTTGCTACTAAGATGCAAACCATCTTGCAAGAGCTACTGAGAAACAGAAGGTTATTTCACTGGTTTAGTATTTTACATAGCGTTGAAACAGGGATTTTATCAAGCACCCACATCACTTATCTATTTAAATCTCACGATGCTGGAGGATCTGAAATTGCCTGTCTCAGCTTTTCAGGATTCAGCTGTGTTATGCTAATGTTAAAAGTGTTTAAGGAAGACAACCAAATGAGGAACATCTAAAAAATAAAAAATAAAAAAAAATCCCACAAAATAAACCCAAACAAAACAAAAATCCAACCCTCAGGGACAAAGCATGAGGCATTCCTAAATGTAAAAGCAATTCAGATATTTCCATGTGATTGTTATGCAGCCTCCTTTTATGTTTTCGAAATCCCAGGTAAATTTAGCAGTTCGGGATTCAACATAACTTTTAGGCAAGACTTTTGTTTTAATCCATTGCATTCTGGACTATCAGGAAGAGAGAAAGTCCAGTCTAGGGATCTGAGACTGTCCAAGAGGGTTTCTTGTACTTCCCTGTCCAGTAATTCTCCAGACACAGTAATTCATAGAAAAAAAAATTAAATCCTTCCTGATTTCTAATTTTTCCTTCCCAACATATTTCTGAGAAACTTCAATACTCGGTGTTGTGCTTTTAAGGGAGGGTTGAGAGAGAGGAGTCATTTCTTCAAATGAATTTTAATGACTCCAAACCTCCATAACTTACTGGAATGCAGTGAAAGGACACAATTCTGGAAAAAACAAACAAACAACAACAAAACCAAGAGTACTTAATTTTGCAAAAGCTTTTCAGTAAGAAAATAAAATTCTTGGGGGAAAAAAAAGAAACACACCCAAAGCAAACGACATCAAAATAATTTTTAAGCAGCCCTGAAGTGCAAAGCTTCCACAGGTTTCTGATAAAGTTAGGAAAGGTAGGGAGGTGTTCCTCAAATACACTTTTCAGGCTCCATGATTGCAATTAAATTGCAGCCATACTGCAATTACAGATATTTTCCACTTTTTTTTTTTTTTTTAATATATTAGCTCCTACCTATTTCCACTTTCTCCAGCTTGGCAATACAATGCAATTTTTAGGCTTCTTACCAGAACTGTTGTTTTTCTCGGATTTTATATTATATTTATGGAAATTTGTGCAAAGCTTTCTTAATTTTGGAGTTAAAAAAAAAAATACAGCGTTGAGTTTCTGTGAAATGTTGCTCTGTAGGATTTAACGTCTAATTATTTTAAAGAACTGCTGGATGTTACCTGTGCTGTATCCACACTGTAACCACCGCCAGGGGGTCAGCTGGTAACAAAGTGTTAATGAGAGGACTCAAAACACAATTGCTGTTTAATTACGGTCACTGTCCAGGTCTGATGATTGTTCTATTGCACAGCCTGTGGTTGGGGGTGGGCTGGGACTGAAAAGGAGGCTTTGTTTTGTTTTGTTTTGTTTTGTTTTATGAAGATGATTCACTTCTTCCCCTGCATTTTCAGGTTCGAAACTCCTGAAGTCTCCTGACTGCCATCAGAGGAGAAAATTCCAACAAGGTACATCCCCCTGTCTTTATTTCATAGGGAAAAAGCTTCATTTTTAGGCAGCCGAGCAGCAAAGGAAAGCCCAGGAGACACTGCCTGACTAACAAATCTGTGGGGGCTGGCAGGGACTTCTGCAAGGTTGAAAGCAAACTTGGTGTAACTGCTGGCACTTGTTCCCTGCAGGAATAGTGAGTCCATTTTTGTGCCCTTCCTGATGCTCTCTCTGTGGTTGTTGGGAGCCGATAGAAGGCAACGCTTCAGCTTCCTGAGCCCTCCAAATAAAGCCCCCTTTCTCTGGGGGTGTTTTCCAGAGAGAGAGGCCCATTGTCCTCCCTGCTTTGCTTGGGTGTTCGTATTTTGGCTCCTTGAATGAACAGCTTCGGTCGCTGAACGGTTGGAAACTTATTTGGGAAAGGCTTGAGTGTATTGCAAGGGGAAAAAAAAAATATCTTCACTTGAATGGCTTGGAGCTGCTCTCAGGAGTTTATTTACATAGCTGCTGCATTGTGCCACAGCTAGAGGGGCAGCCAGGCTCCCTCTTCAATCCAAACTCCCTTTGCTTAAGTAATTAAGTCACAAGCAACTTCAGTTTTCTTGATTTCTAAGTTAACACATGTATTACTTTTGTAAATTCGGATATAGCAAAGAGCAGGGCAGACAGTCCCTGTCTGTGCATTCACACACAGTGTGACCCAGTGAGGATGCAAAGCTCACACCCGTGTCCTAGTGAGAGCTGGCCTCCTCTGATGTTGAGAATAACGTGTTTCCCTCCGAGAGAAAGTCCTCCATAAAACAAGGTGTTAGGAATTCAGCCGGAACTTCCTCTTCCCAACAAGCCAGGTGGAATGGAGTGGGCGAGCCAGCACTGAATGCTCCATATTTTGGTTTTCTCATTCTCAGTCAAATAATGGCTCTTATTTTTCTTGATTTGCTGCTTTATTACACTGCTAAATCCCATCTATCTCTGTCAGGCCTCCTTTTCCCTGAGGTGTTCTGTTGGCGTGGTATTTTTTGGTAACCATGTTTTGCACGGCACCAGGACCTGCATATTGTTTTTAAACACCACCAGTAAAGAGTTAACTCCCAGCAGGAGGGAAAAAAAAAAGGCCAACTGAGTCCCTACAGCTGGATATCTATCAAGAAATCACCAGTTCTCTGACGTTTGCTGTGGGCAAAGGAAAACAAAGCCCTGCCGGCCATAAATCAATCCCTGTGTGCGGGTACTGGCAAAATGAGCTGCTCTGGCACTCTCTGATCCAACCTGTGGGCCAAGAAGTGCTGTCTTTTCTACATCCCAGTGTTTGGAAGTGCCCCTGTGCTCGAGGAAGAGCTGGGGTGCCTCAGAGAGGAACATCCAGAAGGTGAGATGGGCATCTCCAGCTTGTGTGGGAAACTTCCTCAGGTGCCTTTAAAAGCCAGGCCTTCCTCACATAAGCTGCTAGTTGTGCCTTGCTTGAGATAAGGACATTAAAAATATTCCAGCTTTGAAATCAGAGCTGGATTTTAAATATCAGAATGTCTGGAATGGTCTGATATTTCTTGGGTTTTTTTTATCCCCTCGTCTTTTAGAAGGATGAGAAACAAACCCAAGGTTTTTGGGTCCAAACTTTCATATAGTTGTATGGGGTGCCTACCTGATTTTTGGCCTGCTCCCATTCTCCATCTATTATATTAAAACAATTAAAGGCATTCTTCTCTTCCCCCCTTTTTCCCCTGCAGCTGGAAAGTCTCCTCTGCAAACAAACATCAATGCTGCCTGTTGTACAAGCCCCTGGTTGGTTCAGTTTGCCTTTGCTGGAGTGGCCTTTATATCTGTGACTTCATACAAGATGTGTAGGTGTGGGATTAAAACCTTTCCAATCAGACCATCTTCAAACACATAAAAAAAGCTCAGCTTGTGTCAGGAGCCTCCCCTGTTTGGACAAGATGAGCAGGAAATTCCGACATGTTCCTGAGACGTGAGGGGTGGAAAAGGAATAAGAGTGTGATGATGTCAGCCTGTTTATTTGGTGAGTTTTTGGAGTCTGAGGACTTCCTAATATTGTGTGTTTTCACATCTAAAGTGGGTGCTCAACGCTGCAATGGGGTGTTTCTGGTGGTCTCCCTGTGGATAAACTGCTTCTCTCCTGCGCCTCAGCACCACAATGGACATCAAAGTCAGGCCCAGAGATCGTGGTAAAATTCTCCCTGCATTCAAATACTGCCAAATACTTCCGTAGAGAGAGCTGATCTCAGAACACCACTGCAAAAACTCACTTGGTTCTCTGAAAATAAGTACCAGCCTTCAAATGAAAGCTGAGGAGGGAAAGGCTTCTTCACTTTTACAGTGTACACAGCGATGTGTGCACCAGGGCTGTCCGTCAGCACTGACTGCTGATTCCCCAGCCTGGGTCCTGTCCCATGGCAAAGCCTGTGCTCCCAGCTTTGGAACAAAAGATCACCAGAGATAACTGGTGGAAAACACATCCCAGCTATTGACTAAGCAGCCTCACCTTCACCCTGCAGCAAACTGCAAGGTTCAAAACTGTAGTAAAAATGTCCCCTTCGCCAACCAATTTGGTTTATTTCTGCTCCAGATAAATGAAGCAATATTCCATTACCATCTCTGACCATGCTTTATTTTTTTCTATGTGGACTTGTTATGACAAAATCTCTTTCATTTTAATTAAATTTTTCCTAGATGTTATCTTCATAAAACTAGCACTCAGAGAGGCACAATCACTGTTTTTAATAGAAGAGGGTTAATGCTTGTAAAAAATGCTGGAGTAGCATTTGACACTACTTTTGTTTGCCTGTCTGCAGGGAGAGGATGAGCAAGGACTCCTCAGATCTGCTTTTCCTGGGTGATCTTCGTACCAGTTTAAGTCCTGCTCTGCCAAAGTGGGTAAGTCCTTGGTTGTTTTCAGCACACAAATAATCTGGTGACTTCAGTGAGGTTGTTGGAGTGTTTCAGTGACAGGGATTTAATTGCTTAAATACTTGACTGCCTTCTGGGTTTGACCTTTGCTTTTTTTTTGTTTGGTTGGTTGTTGGTTTTTTTTTTCTTTCTGCAAAACTGATTTCACACAGCTCATTTCTAGTTAACAGCCACCGCTGCTTGGAACTGGACTGAGATTTCATTTCATTTCTATCACCAGAGAGCTGCGAGGTGGTAACAGCTACCAGCTGCTGGCACCATCCAGCCTGAGCCAAGATGAGCAAGCCTGGAAATGAAGGAGAATTCAGCCTGTGCCTTGATTGCCTTGGGCAGGGGGAAGGGACAAAGATGACTGCAAGTGCAGGGCTCCTATCAGCCATGGCAAGCAAACAGTAAATATTTTCTAAAGTGACCCGAATTAACCTTCTTGTCATGGCAAAACACACACGGGCAGAGCTGTCAAGGACACAGCAGCCCTGCTTTCCTGCTGACAGCCTCCAGTGATGTCCCAGGTACCAAAGGACACTTCAAATGGCCCCAATCACCTGTGTTTAGGCAACAGAGTTATACCTTCCTGACTGAGAAGGGTCCCAAATGGGGATTTGCACCAAGGACAGGCAATCTTGCTGCTTGGCCAAGTTCTGAAGTTCATTCTCAGGAAAACTCCCACTAATCTAAGGCACGCCAGGATTTCATTTACTGCTGGGAAATGTGAAACCTCCCTGGCTAAAGTATCTTAATTAGGCCATTAGAGCCCGGTATAAAATGGCTGAGATAAACAGGGGCAGGAGGGCACAGGATATTGTCAATGCATTGTAAAGCCTTTGCTGCTCAGCCTGGGGTTCAAACTGTCCAGAGCCACATTTTCATGGCATAAAACACCGGAGCCCTCTGTGTGGGGGCTCCTGGGAGGGCCCCTGGGTCAGTGCTTTTCACTTGGCCTGTGGGCAGGGAGCCACAGCTTCTCTCCCTTCTGCTGCCCTGTGCTGCTTGGACTTTCAGTTTCTAATTCTGGTGTGTTTTAATTTAGTGCAATTTTTGGATTCGCTTTGGGTCAGTTTGAAGAGCCTCATCTTAGGTTTTCCTGTGCAGGGGCTGGTTGCAGAACGGGGGATGTGTTACCTGTTCTCTTCATATTGCTTTTCCAGAAATGTTGTAAGAGCTGTTGCTTGTCACTCCAGGAGACTGAAATCAAAGAATTTGGTGAATCTGGGGCCTGTGTTGTATGTGTGTGTACAGGAGGAGATGCAGATCATAGAATCATAAAATAGAATAACAGAATGGTTTGGGTTGGCCATCCAGCCTGGCCTTGGACACTCCCAGGGATGGGACAGCCACAGCTTCTCTGGGCAACCTGTGCCAGGGCCTCCCCACCCTCACAGGGAAGGATTTCTCCCTGATATCTAATCTATAACTACTCTCAATCTGAAGCCATTCCCCATTGTCCTGTCACTCCATACCCTTGTGAAAAGTCCCTCTCCATCTCTCTTGTAGGCTATGAAGGTACTGGAAGGTGCTATCAGGTCTCCTCAAAGCCTTCTCTTCCACAGGCTGAACAACTCCAACTTTCTCAGCCTTTCCTCACAGTTCTTGGGTGGTGGTTTTGAATACAAAAGTGACGAATCCAAAATATTCACCATAAAACAGCAAAAGACTTGTAGAATGGCATAACAGGTTGGTGTTTTTTTCTCTACATCTAGATGGTAAAAATTTCTTGGTTTTACTTTGAGACTCATCATTTCTGATGAGAATTTATGCCCAGAAGTGAGATGAGGCTGGAAGCTGTAGATGTGGGAAATCAAATGCAAGTGTGAAACTCTCAGCTTGTTACTCACTACCAGCAGTCTGCACATTCCTGCAACTGGATTTGTATTCTTATCGTTTGGGAGTTAGTACTTGATCAGGCCCTGAGATCTGCGTGAGTTATTGTTTATTTTTGTTGTTGTTGTTTGATTTTCTTAATCCAAACAATCTGCTGGAAAGAACACACTGGGTAGCAAATACTATTTGCTGGGTTTTTTTCCTCTGGTGAGTGTGGGGAGGCTGCAGTGTCCCTGCTTTCCTGGGCAGAAAAGGCTTTCAGAGTTCTCTCTGCATTGAGGGTGGGCATGTTTTTTTTGTTGTTGAATTGGTAGTAATTATCTTATGCAAATATGTGCTGTTGGGCCTGTTCAGCCTCGAGAGGAGACACTGAGGGGGACCCCATCCATGTGTGTCAGGGGCTGCAGGGAGGGGGCAGAGGATGGCCCAGGCTCTGCTTGGGGGGGCCCAGCAATGGCACAAGAGGAACGGGCAGGAACTGATGCCCAGCAAGTTCCAGCTGGACATGGGGGAGAACTTTGCTGTGCAGCGACCGAGCATTGAACAGATTGCCCAGAGAGGGTGTGGAATCTCCCTGACTGGGGAAAACCGTCTGGACACAGCCCCGTGCCGTGACCTGACCCACCCTGTGATCCCGTGAAGTCCTGCACGGGGAGCGCAGCCCGCTTTGCTCCGGGGGTCTCCGCCGCCTCCCTGCCGGCTGAGGGGGTGCAGGGGCTGCGATCCCGAGGGTGTCCGGCCCCTGCCCGAGCCCGGGGGTGGCTGCGGGGCGGGCCGGGGGCGGGATGGGGGGCGGAGGAGGCGCCGAGGGGCGGGCGGGGCCGGCCCGGGAGCTCCGCACACACCGCGCTCATGTCAGCCCGCACCGCGCCGAGCCTCCCTGGAGAGCCCTCCGATTTGCCTGCATTTTAATCCTTTAATTTATTTCATTTTTTAACATTTTATTTTCCTGATTTCTGGTTTTTTTTTTTGGTTGCGCTTTTTTTTTTTTTTTAAAGGGGGGGGAGGAGCGCGGAAAAAAAAACCACCCCCGGCTTCACGGAAAAAAAAAAAAAAAAGGAAAAAAAAAAACCAAACCCAAGGAAAAAAAAAATGAGCCAGAATGTCTGAGAAAATGTCCAGCTTTCTGTACATCGGGGACATCGTGTCCCTGTACGCCGAGGGCTCGGTGAACGGGTTCATCAGCACGCTGGGGTGAGTGAGAGCGAGTGCGGGGCTCGCCGCACAGGAAGGGGCGGCAGCGCGCCCTGCTCGGCGGAGCGGGGAAAGTAGGAAGTGCTGGGGAACGGGAAGGGATGAGAGAGGAGCTCTCGGGGCCGGGCAGCGGGGCCCGGGCCCCGCCGGACCTTGTCCCGCAGCTCCCCGCACTCCCCGCCCGGCTCCGGCGCCCCCGGGAATACCCGGGGTTCTGCAGACCCCGCGCTGTGCTGAGCCCTTAGCACAGTCAGCACGCAGAGCTGCCCTTCACCTATCTGTTTATTTATTTATTTATTTATGTATTTGGTTGGTTGTTTATTTATTTTACTGTAGTCGCACCTCTGAGAATTTCTGACAATTTTCCTTGCTCGTCTTGCCCGTGAATCAGCTCGCTAAAAGCCTGCACGCCTTCGCTTCTGGTTTGTGCCTGCCTGAGGTCTTGTCTTGTGGTTGTCGATGATCAGATATTTACGATCAGATAGTTTAATTTAATGGAGATGCTCTTTTTTTTTCCCTTCCCCCCCCCCGCCCCTTCCCCCGTGAGCTCTTCTTTCTCTCCGCGGGGTGAAAGGACGTAGTTTAGCTGTGGCTGCTTCGCTGAACTACCGCTTGCTGATTCAGTTTTTTATTAACCTCGGCCGCTTTAAATCACCTTCTTGGAATCCTGGAGGGAAAACCTCAGCGACTGATGATGGCGATACATTGATACGTGCCTTTGAAGTTTGGCTGCAGTGAGGTGTCCCGAGGGAGCCGTGATTCCCTCTGATGTTCCCAGGAGAGCTGCAGTAGTTTCAGTAACTCTGTGGCATGTCCGAAGTAAGCATGTCCTGAAACCTTTGTCACTGGCAACGTCTCCTGCTCTGCGTGGATTGTGGCGATCCCGTGGACAAGGCAGCTCAAACTCTGGTTAAATATCACTTGGTGTGGTGCTGCTATTGGGAAGGAGCTGGTGTTCAAGGTCTTTTATATCTTTTTTAATCTTGTTTTTGCATCCAATCCTCGCTGTTCGCCCTTTTAATCTGTTGGCAAGTGTTTTTCAGTGGTTTGTTCCTCTATTTGTGAATTTGGCGCCTCCTCTCACTGACTCTCTGTGTTGTCTCACATCTCCTTTTGTTTTGCTGACCCTTGCAATTTTAAATCCTGCCTGAAAATGTTTGTTTGTTTGTTTGTTTTCTGCAACTGTTAATCGCTGGACATTGTTTCTTGCTCTTGTAACCCCAGCACTTCTTTTTTTTTTTTGGTTGACGTATTTCGCCGTTGGTTTGTTGTGCTGTTCTGCATCACCTCTGCCTTCTGTTGTGTGGAGGAAGCTACAAATTGCCGTGCTTTGCTTTTCATTGTGCTCTTCCTTTCTGAGAACACCTGCATGTCCACAGTCACGGATGTTTCTGCTGTGACTGATGCTTGTACGTCTGTCACTCCAACACGTGTTTTGGCATTGCTGTGTCACAGTTTTAAAGCTGCCGAGCCCCTCCCTTATCCCCTGGAGTTAAGGCAGGACATTCACTCCCAGTTTTAAAGGCGAGAAGCAAAGATCAAAGCTTGTCTGAGGCACTTGGGAGCTCTTTACTAGAAGAAATAATCGAGCTCAAGCCAACACGCTGTCCAGCTCAAGAAAACTGCTTGGGATGAGTGCAGGACTCCTGTGTGCATCTCTCCTTCAGCCACAGGCCAGCAGTGCAACAATGCTGATGCCCCTCTGTTGGCTTTTCAGTCCAGCTTTTTTGTGCCCTGCTCCTTGGCATGGTAAAAGCAGCCCCAGAGCCAGGGAGGCTGGAGGGGAGGAGCCGCAGGAAACTTTTGAAGTCGCCAGTGGAAAAGCTCCCATGTCTGCTGAATGGGAATGCTGACCCCTCTGCTGGTGGTACCAGAGCTTGGACTGGCATTTAGAGTTGGGATGCCAGGTTACCATATCTGTGCCAGCTGTTGCTGCCTTTGGACTGGTTGCAGCAACACAAGAGGCAGAAAAAACCTCGTGTATTCAGGGAAAACTTGCCCAGCTGCGCCTCGCAAACACCTGAAAAGGGGAACCCTCATTTTCCACAGGTGTCTCTAATTAGTGAGGACAGGGTGGGGTGGGATTGGGAATGAGTTCTCTTTTTTCATTGGCTGCTGTGGGTCCTTGCTTAATTACTCTTGCCTGGGTTACACCTGAAAGGCTGCCGGGCGGACCAGCCTGTCACCTACAGAGCCATTGGGGACCCTCCTGCTGCTTCAGGAACTTGAGATCCAGCTCAGGTCTGTGACTCTGGGGCAGGGGAGAGAGTCCTGTTTATTTTAAGCTGTCAAAGGCTGATTGTTTCCTAAACAAAGTGTGAGCAAGGCCATTCTATAAATAGGATAAAAAGGTGCCCAGCACCTCTGAAATGCAGGGGACCAGTCTGCCATGAGGGGACCTCGCTCCTTGAGGGGTTGAACCAGCTCAACAGGTGGGTTTTGAGGGAGATTTCTAAGCATAGGCTGTTTCTTGCATTTTGGAGTATTTTTTTCCTCACTTGCTGGTGCAGAAATTTTCACGTGCTCAGCTTTTCCTGAAAACTTAAAGCCAAGAGGAAGATGTAGCTGAGCTGTTCAGGTCATGTGTTGGGTCAGGTGAACAGCTCCTCTAACCTGAGTGTGGAAATATTCCTCTTGGGCAGTTTAGGAGGTCCTAGCTGCCTTTTTTGGGAGATGGGATCTGCACCCTTGGCTCTGTGTCCAGGTGAGCCTGGTGAGGGCGGGAGGGCCTTTCCACACCTCCCTCTGCAGTGAGGGTTTGGGAATTGCTGGAACAAGATTCTGTGAGTGGTACCCAAAGGGTTGGGGCACTTCTCTGAGCTGGAGGAGATCTGTGTTCTCGTCCTCCT